TTCGCCAAATCATGCGACCATCCTCAATGGCGTAGTGGCTATGTGAGGTCGGGACTATCCGAAGGTACCGGGTACAAATCCTGGTAAGGATCTTCTTTTTTCCCTTCTTCCTTTTTTTTTTTTTTTTTTTTTTTTTTTTTTTTTCTTTTTTTTTTTGTTGTTTTTTTTTTTTTTTTTTTTTTTTTTTTTTTGTTGTTTTTTTGTTTTTTTTTTTTTGTTTTGGTGTTTTTTTTTTTTTTTTTTTTTTTTTCTTTTTGTTTTTTTTTTTTTGTTTTCCCCCGTGCTGGCGGCGTTTTTTTTTGTGGGGGGGGGGGGGGGGGGGGCGTCCTGGCTCTCGTGGTCTGTACATTGGGAACTGTGGATTTAATGATAAGTCGGCGACCCCCCTCCCCCCAATACTAATGGGAGACAAAAAAGGTTAGATGATTACTGAATGAACCTTAGTTTTACCGGCAGTCCCGGCCCAAGTATATCTCCCCGCTTTTTATTCATCGCGGTCTTAGAACATGTTGAATCGAAATTACAAGACCTCAAGAGATCCATTTCTGAAGACCAAGAAGACTGCGTACGAAAAGGTTAAAGAAGATAATGCCATTAAGTGAAACAAAGTTGGTAACGAGAAGCAATTGAAATTGAACGAATCTGTGGAAGCCAAATTTGATTCACCCATCGCCTTCATCAAGAGAGAATGATCATTCTCTCTTGCCTTCATTTATAAAAAGAAACTGAATAAGGCGAAACAAGAGCTGGAAGAGGGTAAGAAGCTTTAGAAGCTTTTGCCTGAACGTCAAAATTAATTAATCTTGCTGGTCGATCTGAGTGTAGTTGGGCCACGGTTTCGGCCTACGTAACTGCACAGACCACTTGGCGGATACTCCTGAAGACGGACTGCGTATTTATAAACCTAAAAAGCAGAGAAGGTCGGAGACGCTAGAAGAGAGAAATCGCCGGTTTAATCGGGTGCTGCTAATTACAAGTCTAATCATGCTTCTTTTACTCTTCTTACTAATTCACGTCTCGGCGAGACGACGCTTTCAAGTCCCTTCGACAACCCTTTTCGATAAGCTGCCTTTCTGCCCAGAACTCAGTTAAGGAGAGGAACCTGCTTCGCTTGTGGATCGGAACGACATTGGAGAAACAACTGACCCAATCTCGTCTCTTCAGCAAGATCGGATAAGTCAATCAAGTGATGCCTCTGATGTCTTCAGATTCCCAGGGAGCACATTGATTTTTGGTGCAATTCCGTTCGCGCTTCCGACTTCATCATCAACAGTACTGTTGAGGTGTACAAAATTCCTTTCTTTGATTTGTCTGAGAATTTTGTTACTCCTAATAGATATTCGGCGTTCAAGTTTAAAGATTTTATCAAAATGTATCACTCCTGTGCACATGGTGCAGAAGTCCACTGGAAAATGCAGGCTTATTTTTTATCTTTCGTATTTAAACAGATTTGTTCATTTTGGAAGCAATCCGTTTGGTACGAAAATAATCGCACTGTGTTTCATTTGTTTCAGTCGGGCTAGTTTTTCTTCACCTTTGCTTTCAAATCTGGATATCATCACGTCGAAAACCTTTCCAGATCATCGCCAGAATCTGGGTTTTTCTTGGAGTTTTGGTTCAGTTGTCAAATACTTCGTTTTTACTGTTCTGCTTTGCCATTTGCCATTTTCACAAAGTTAGTGCGTTCGCTCGTTAATTACTGACGAAGTCTTTGGCGTCGTGTTGTTACTTTACTGGATGACGCTATTGGCGGGGGCCCCGCTTGTTTTGTGCTTACCAAGAGCTTAGTTGGTTAGGTGTCGCTCTGATTTGGACGCTACGGGTTTCTTTGTGGACGTTCAAAAATCGGTGCGGGAGCCCTCTCAATTCGGTGCCTGGCTTGGATAACATCTAAATTTCAGTCTTAATATAATTTCTGTTCTTCTTCTGAAGATAACAAAGCTCAAGGAAAGCATTTCCCGTATTCTTGCTCAGCGTTTTGTTAACACTAAGGAACTAACTAGCATTACTAGTTAGTTGAACTCTATGTTTTTGACTATCGGGAACATTGCGCGGTTGAGGTCTTTTTCAATGTACGCTCAGATTTCAGCTCAGAATTTCTGCTTTTAAACCTTTTCACTGGAAGATTCAGTCGTGGAAGAATTACCCTTTGGCAATCAATTAAGATCACCTCAATGGCCGTCGTATTTGGTTGAAATCTAGTACATTAAGAGCTGCATATTCAGATGCGAGTGACTATACTATTGATATAGCGGTTATATTGTTGAACTTGGTCCCATGATTTAGCAAAAAAAAGTTCCACAATGCGTGAGATTGTGGCCCTTACAGACGTTCTGCATTCGTTTGCGCCTGAGCGTTAAATGTCAAATAGCCAACGGAAACCAGTTGTTGCGCGTATTATTGATGTCGGTAGTAGGAAGTCACAAGTTTCCAAGAGGACCACAGGAATTCAAGCTATGGAATCAAATGTGATGATTTATCTGATGATGAAATAGCACTCTTCAGGTCATAACAAATCATGCTGCCAACTGAGCACATACAACCATTTTACGTTCACGATCACAAGCATGATGCAATATGTACGCATGGAATCATCTCTGGAATCATAACCTGATTTCATGGGTGCACAAAACATCATTGCTGTTCCAAACTTATGACGGCTTGCTGATTTCTGGATTTGGGCACCCATCCAGGCTCAATAGATACCCCATGACGAACGCAAATTTGTGACATTTGCGTTCTTCATGGGTGCCCAGAGCTAGAATTGATCAAGCAGATTCGTTTATTGTTGACTTCGATGATTGGTCTGTAGGTCCTCACATTTTTCGCCAATTAGACTTGAAATGGGGGTGTCACCCTATTGATCGGGCGTAACCATTTATTACCTATATTTCATTCCAGGTTTTGGAACCCTTACTGTGAAGCTATGGACTCTGTTAAGAGGTCGTGGGACTTTGATAGCAATTGGGTTTGTCCGCCACTCACCTTGTTCCGAGGGCTCTGAAGCACATAAGGTCTTACTGCGCACAAGGTACTTTAATCGTTCTCCTTTGGCGCCCGGCTCCATTTTGGCCTCTACTTACAACGGACGGGTTTCACCTGGCTTATTTTGTCAAAAACTGAGTGGACCTTTCCTCCTTGAGGACGACTTTCTGCGTGAGTCGCCAGGAAGATGTTTGGGTTTGGCTATTCGTGTAATATATTGATTTTAGATCTGCGTGATTTTTTATTGCCGGGTTTTGTACTAGTGATCAAGGTTGGTACATTCAATGTTCATTTGCATCAGTTTGGTAAGTTATTCTTTTTCCGGTGTTTTTTTTTTTTTTTTTTTTTTTT